TTTAGTCAAAAATTTGATGTTTAGACAGATTTTGATGAAAAAACTGACGTTTGGAAAATGTGAGCACATATTCATAAGTAACAAATGTACATACAAGATATTTATACAGTTGCAACAAAGTTCAAACTGGATTACTACTGGAATTTCCATATTGTTAATTGTGATTATGTGTTGACAGTTGTCAGATAGTAATCCAATATACTAGTGGATTATAATTTAATGACCAATATAACATATATTGTTTTCAAGTTTCAGACATTATAACAATATATGGAAAAGGCATTTTTGGTAGACCTATGCTTCTAAAATTAATCACAACTGAATGTTCCTTATACATTTCTGTATATATTGGGTTATTCAGTATTCTACTAGCCCCAGCTTAAATAGTAGCATTGTCAGGACTTTTTTTAAAAAAAATTGCTAACAGTGATAGTATGTCAAAATGCTGCACTTTCTCAAACCATCTCATAGTGAGTTCTTTCTTCACTTTCTGAAAATGTCCCTATGTGACAAACTAATATTTCTAAGACAGAAAAGTCTGTCTTCTGTTTTATTCATATGCCAATATAATACAATAAAAACTCTTTTAAAAGAAGAAATTTAAATTCTGGTGCATGCCCTTGAGTAATGGGGTTTGGTCAGATTAGCATAAATTGCTGGCAAGCCACTTGCTAAAAAGTTCTTGGATGGAGGCTCCTGATGGATGGACTGGCAAATAGAACTTGGCTTTGCTGATACTGCTGATCTCAAGGATGGAGGAAGCAGGTAACAGATACTCGATCACTGTGGTTTGAGTTCCTGTTTGCACCTGAGTGAAATAATTTTCTGTCTTTCTAACTAAATTTATCTTAGAGGTATTTTTATCACCTTAGATTCTGAGCATTGCTGTAGTTTTGTCTTGTGGTAATTCGGATAGTCTTGCCTGTTGCCTCTTCTCAGACTGAAGTAAGATTCCTTCTCCTAAGGCAGCAGTTCCCAACCTTTTCCAGCTGGGGACCCATTTTGTCAATTCAAGAAGACTCGGTGAATTCAAAAAATGTGTGAATGGCTCCTTAAGAGCCACCTGGGGAGACACCTGGCGACCCTTTTGAAATGTAATGGCAACCCGTATTTGGGTCCTGACCCATAGGTTGGGAAACCCTGTCCTAAGGGGAAGAGGGAGCCTGACCCCCCCCCTTCTCTGCCATGTTTAGGATGGTTTTCCAGTATTGTGTGCCAAGTGATATTTCAGCATTAGGAAAGGGGGGAGTTACATACTTAAGACCTTGAAATCTGAAGGGGTTGGAAAATGCACACTGCTCACAGGTGGGCGAGGTTGTAAACACCAAGAAGGAAGAGGCATTCGTAGTTAGTGCTACATGAGAGTCGACAGCTGTGAGTAACAGGATGAAATTGAGAGAGGGAAAATATAAGCGGAGTATCAGGAACAGTGTCCTGGTAATAAGGACTATTAGGCTGTCATGTAATGGAAATGCCATTGCTGTAGCCTTTTAAACTATGCCACATAAAACCTACCATAGGGGGCAACCTATATGGGCACAGAGAGGCAAATTTCTTCTCTGAGGGCTTTGTGGAGGGTAGCATGTGTTGCACTGGATCAGCAAGATATGATTCTGTGGTGATGAGCTCCATGTAAGAGCCTAGAAAGACAGATAGCAAGTAACTCTTCTAAACATAGGCACCAGCTTCCTGGGGTGATGCTCATCTCTCCTTCACCACAGGCCCTGTTCCCTTCCCCCAAGTCCCCACCCCTTTCTGCCCTGCTTTGCCCAAAACCCAACCCCCCCGAAGTTCCTGACTCCTGCCTCTCTCCTGGGAGTGCCCTGTGCCTTCTCCCTCCCAGAGTCTCCTGCATGCTACCAAACCACTGACAGTGACAGA